ATATCAGAAGTTTTCACTATTTTTGTTGGCATGTATACATTAGAAGACACTCTAGACTCTGGTTTACGTAGAGAATCGACTAAACCATAGCTCTGATACCATTAAATATAACACCACCAACCCGTACCCGATCCGGATACGAGTCCGAGGTGTCACATTGACTTTTTAAACTTTGACTCTTAAAGAAAATCTTGGAAATTTTAAACTTTCATTAAAATAAAATACGTTAATTTACATAAATTAGACCAAATAATACAAAATCGATCAGAGCATGTGTCATTCACAACTTGTTACATGCCAACACATTATATACAACAAAATACATACTTTGTCAATTGCTTCTGATCTGATCTTTTAATAGGGTATGTTGTCCGTGCAACTCCTAATTCTGGTCTTCTTGCTTCTTGGTACCTAAGTGTAAATCACTTACATGCTAAGTCACAAACTTAGTGAGGCATAAAATGAATATATAAAAATAAATTCACGAACATGCAATATTATTAATCTATCATGACATGGCAATTTACATATATCCACTAAGTTATGACATATATGATTATGATATGTGCATATGAAATTTAACTTCACTTAAGATTTTTCATTCAATTTATCTTTGGATGCCTATGTACATTATTGAGAACAGGGAGGTACGTGAGTACATTGAGCTTGTGCATGAATGCTGTCACCACAGCTCGAATAAATTCCCACTAAGGGAACTGAATATTTGTCCGAATGACGATTATGTCCCGAAGGACCACTATGTCCCGAAGGACCACTAATAATCCATCAACTCTTGGCATGCCAATTATACCTACAACTCTCATATCATATAACATGGGCTTAATTATAAGTATCTGTTACATTTCAAATCACTTCTATCTTTCTCATATAAACACATCACATGCACATATATGATTCATTATCTTTTCCTACATAACTTAGGATTATCCTTTGATGATATCATTCATCATACATAATGTCATATTATAACATGGATGAATTATTCATGTAATCACTATAACCAATATATATATACATGTATGTATGTATGCATGTACATGAATATGAAATCATGAATTTATCTATAAGAGATAGAATTATTGCAAGTCTTATCTCCAACTATATCTAGGATATGCACTCACCTTAGCCTTGCTTGATTTGAATCAATTCTAGAACTTATCTTTTTTTCGATTGTTTCTAATTCCTCGATTGTTTCAAAACAGAGTTACGTTCACTATCTACATAATCATACATTGCTACATATTAGTATTCCACATGACTTACTCTAATCTTTCATTTCTTAAACTAAAGGAAAGGCTAATTTCATATCTTGATTAAAGTAGGTATCGATACCCTCTATAGGGTATCGGTACATTCCTTAACTGATGTATCGGTACACCGCCTAGGTATCGATACCCAAATTACATTCGATAATTTTTCGTTTCAAGGGGGTATCTATACCATCCTTAAGGTATCGGTACCCTTTAAATATCTTCCTGAATTTTACTCTTGAGGTATCGGTACCTGTTGAATGGGTACCGATACCCATTGCCCAGAAATCACATTTTCAATTCGAAAATTACTTCATTTCAACTTAATTGCTTCATATATCATCCCCTTTCATATCCTTAACTTACATACACCTGCTTAAAACTCATTAATACCTCTTTAACTTCAAAATCCAATCCTCCGCATAGCATTCAAGAATCATACTCAAATTTCAACATGTTCTAAATCCAATTCTAACACTTCATACTCCTTAATTAGGTTGATGACAAGTTAAATTTTGTCTGGAAATCTAATTACTATCCTTCTACCAAGATTTCTCTTATTCACTTCCTTTCTTTAATCCTTCATATACCTTTCATGTTGTTGTTTTAAGACAAATTAAGTTTTCCATAACCTTAATTATCATCTAATGATCATAAGCCAACCTTAAATTTAACAAGAAATTAACTAACAAGAAAACTCACCTTTGATTCAAGCCTTCACGTATTAAGAAGGAAGAGGAGAAGAGAACTCTAGAACCTTTTGTTTTCTTCCCCCCTCAATCCACGTGGCTTAATATATACATAACCAAATTTAATTATTTACTTGAAAATGACCATTTTGTCCTTCAATTTCATCTTCCTTGCAATTCAATCCTATAACAAATTTATAATATAAGCCCTTGAATTATTCAATTATTCTACTTTAGTCACCAATTTCTATAGTTTAACAATTTAGTCACTAACCCGGTATTGAGGATGTTACACAAAGATTAAGGTAATCTCAAAACTTTATTTTATCGTAGTTAGTATGGTATGCATGAGATCTTAGGGTTAGTCAAGGTTATTTAAATTTTTGTTGTATTTTCCTTGCCTCGATTTCTAACAATGACCTATAGTCGAAGGACCATTTTGTAACTTTTAATAGTCGAGGAACTCAATAAAACAACACTCTATAGTTGGATCATTTGTGTGCTTTATCTTTTAATAAAACACGCCTAAAAATTAAAATTTAAAACTATAATTGTAAGGACCAAAAATGTAATTTGATTCCATGAATTGGAAAAATTATTAATTTTAGTTTATATAAAACATAACTAGAGTGTTAAGTTTTATTTCTTGTCAACGTGATATTTAAGAGTTAAAGAGTATTTCCTCATTTTTTTTTTCATATAATCTCTATTTTTTATTTAGAATATATCATGGTAAATTTACTTATATTTTATTGTCAAATGGTTGAGATTATTTAGAACAAATACTACTTTGTAATCACTTAGCTTAATAAAAAAAATACTTATACTTTATTATTAAATCGAATTTATTGAAATTCACTTAAAAATTAGGTATTATATGAGAAAAACGTAAATGTAAAAAAAAAGATAAAAAAGTACTCTTTAGCTCTTAATTCTATATAGATAATAATTATTCAAAAATAATCTATATGGATAAAAATCAAAGAATAGTAATTTAATTAATTTTATATAGACCAACTTACCTTAGTGGTTAAAAAAATCATTGTTGTTCTTAGAGATCACATGTTCGAGCACTAGCGACTACATTAGGGTAATTGAGTGGTCAATGTCAAATGATTGAGAGTATTTAGAATAGATATTACTTTGTAATCACCTTAACTTAATAAAAAAAATTATGCTTATATAAAGTAACAACAATAATATTTTTAATTTATGGTGCCAAATTACATCTTTGAATTTTATAGTTTTATTTGATTTTTTTAATTTAGATTTTATTAAAGTATTTTTCTTTGTCATCTGCTACGCGAGTAGAAGATATATTTAAAGTACGTTTCTAAAGTGTTACGCAAAAAGAGATGTTAATTTAAAAATAGTTAAATATTAATATTAAAATAAAAAAATAATTATATAATGGATGAAATTTGAGTTTTAAAGTCAAAAATGTTTTTTAAAACTTACATAAAATTATTAGTTCACTTATCATATAAAATTCGACAATCAACTTAAAATGTTCTTTAAAAACCCAAAATTAAATCCAACATGTACCGGAGCAAATATCATCCACCTTTTTAAATCTACAACGTTATAAGCCACCATGGGAACTAAGATCCTCATTTTTCAAGTTCGACTTGACTCGAGTTCAATTTAATTAAAATTTGATTAATATACAATTTAAATAAGCTAAAATTCTTAATAAGTTAAAACTACGGCAGTGGGAGGGGCTGTGGCCAACCAACCCAATAATTTTTTTTACATTTAATCTATATATAAAATTTAAAAATTTATAGAATAATTATAAAATTACCCCCCTAACTTTAGAAAAATTATTCTTTATCTCCTCAAGTTAAAATCTTAAATCCATTTCTGACTTTCAAATCAAGTAGAGCTCAATAGTACTAGAATCTGACCCAGTTCGTTTACAATCCAAGGCTCACCGAGATCGGTGTTAATGGCCCAACAACGTTTCCTTGGCCTTATATTCTGAAATGCTTCAGTTTCCCAAGGAATGGTTGCTTGACAACATCGATATTTATGCTACTTTGCCAGAATTTAGTCTACCCCATTTTGAGTCATAAAAAAAGAAAGACTTTTTCTTTAAGAAGAATAACATAAAAAGAACTTTTTCTTGTCAGCAATATCGAATTTCTTGCATCTGACGGGGACTTCGGGGAAGAAAAGGATCCATCAATTTCCACAGAGCTAAACATAATTGGACTCGGAAAAACAGGGACAAAATGACAAGTGATTGGCATACTAAATTTTATTGAGAGATACCATAGACTAGTCATCAATTTAAGGCAGATTTATCCATGTGATAGTCGAAACCCATCTGCCTAACTCACAGTCCAACATCATGATCAGACAAAAGTAGGGTCAAAAAGATCAGGGATGGAAATGAAATCTCATGTACCACAATGCCAGCTAGTGTGACGACTTAAATGGTTGCTATAAAATTTAGATTGAGACAAGTATCTGAACAAATGTAGGCATGTGCTGGACAAAATTTCAGATTAACAGATTGTTGTAGAGATGGTTATCCATAAATGCATGAACAGATAGTTGTGTAGATGATTATCTATATGTGCAAGAACATATTGTTGTGCAGATGATTATCCATGTATACATGAACCGATTGTTGTGTAGATGATTATATATATACACACACACGAATTTTGAACTTCATCACCAATTATACTTCTGCCAATAGTAAAACCTCTCATTGTGTCTTGAAAACGAATTTCCAAGTGTATTTACAATATACTCGACTCTGAAATTGACGTGCTAATAAAACACTCTACATGAGGCTGAAACATGATTAAAGGACCCACAAAAGATATATTTACAACAATAATTAAGAAAAAGAAAAATATAGCTTCTCACAAGGAACTACTCCAAGGGAAACAAAACACTTTCTACCATACCTTTGCATCCTTTCGAGCCGGCTTCACCATCTCCAATCAGTTCGGAATTGTACACACATCCTTCTTGTTGCAAGGTGATATCAGTAGGTTCTATCTTCTTCGGTTTTTATAATTTTCCTTTAATGACCTTCAGATATTGTGGATAAATCATTGTCTTTGATAAATGATGGACTAAGAAACTTGGCTACAAAAGCCCATGTCTTGTAAACATCTTCGAAGTTGGTTAGGAAACCAAGTGATGCTGTAATTACTTTGACTCGAAAAATTAAGTTTTTGCCATCTTTGCAGCCATTAGCCATTGGTTGACACAGGGCTGAATCTTCAAGCTCAAGTTCTTTGCACTGCTGCTTCACATCGTCCACAACTTGTACATGACTGAGTATACCGATGCCAAGAGAAATACCACTCTTCTCAGCTAGCTGCTGAACGACTTCTGGGTCAATTAGCCGTCCACCATTGTTGTCCCGCACATTAAAGGCTACAGCAGCACCTCTTTCGTATTTGATCTTCGGACCATATGTTTGCACAAGATGGACTCCCTTGCTTTCATCTGAACTTGGTAACCGAAGTTGAAGTAATGAGGTAACTAGCCAATTGATCAGGTATCGCAGTCTAAGGGTAGTTTTGTTTAGACCCAACATATTCACATGATCAAGGTGATGGCAGATTATCTCAGGTTCCCTTCTACTGCACTCTAGAATATCATCATCATCATCATACACTTCATCAAGTAAGGATTCATCATCAGGCAAGGTAGTCAATGATATTTCACCAGCTCCAACCTGCTTGGATTCTCATGCAGTTATTTTCCACGCTAAAGGATACTCTGCGATCCATACTTGCCACTCGGTCTTCCCCATTCAAACCGAAAAATCTACCATTGGCAAACCTGCTCCCTTCTCTCCTTCCCAGCAGTCTAAACTCACCCTCTGTCTCTCTCCTGATAGCACTTGCTTTTTTTCCTTCGTAAACTTCAGAGGCAAAGGTATTCTCAAGCATTCCATTCTTCGGTTTGAATCCATTTACCTCGGAACTCAAGCATTCCAAGTCAGAATCTTCTTGTATCTCCCCAACATACTTGGAATTTTTATACCTCCCAACATCTCCTAAACCAGGGTCCAATTCAGTAGGTTCTTCTTTAGGGATCTTCTTAATTTGGTCCAAATCATGGGACACAGACAATACAGCTGCATCAAAAGATAACACAGAATCTCCTCGCAATCTTGTGTTCAACTTGCTGTCATCGGAAACTGGACTCAGATATTTTTGAAGTCACTTTTGGAGACAGCCGCTTATTGTTTCTCTTCCTAGAAAACAATGATGGCAGTAAGTTTGAGTCTGGATTTGGTCTGATTAGTTGGCCAGATTTATCGGACCCAAATGGACTCTGCCCCAAATCAATCCAGTACGAATTGTCCAATGATTCATCTTCACTGAAAACCGGGCTTCTCATGAGATCACCAACTGAAAGGTTCTCATCTTCCTCAAAAATGGTGCTTGCTCCATCCCTTTCCGAGCTATTATCATGATCCATCTCTGTTTCAAACACATCCCTGACCTGATTGGAAGTGAAAACACCTGAAAAGGCAGGCATTTGTGACCCACCGTTTCTCTCAGGCAATGATTCTTTATTGTGTTCAGCTGTTTCATCCTCAAGTCCAACTAAAACATCAAGTCCATCAACAGAATCACTCGAGTACTGTGGATAAACAGGGAGGATCTTCACCATTCCAGACCCGTATATCCATATGGAATTTGCAAGCTTGACATCAAAGATTTCTTGATCAAAAGGCATCCAAAACCAGTTGGATCATATCCAAACAACCTATAAAACAACGTAATAATAAAATCCGGCCTAAATAAGGACAAGCCAAGTGAATCCATATCCTTGGGACCTAATGACCCTGCATCAAGCAATGTATGCCAATGGTTTTGTTGGGCAAGGGCCATCCACTGGTAAGAATACTTTGCCCCAGTCACTCTAGACTGAACTGAAAACACAAAAAGGCCATTCGCGTGGCCTTTCTTCCTCTTTTTCTTGTTCGAAATCTGCTTCCTCAGCTCCCTAGAGCATAGTTTCAAGGAAGGCCATTTGAACCAGGCATTGTAAACCTTAGCGCCTTTCTCTTTAGCGCACTGAGCCATCCAAATCACCGACTGACTCTCGTGATCAAACATCGTCAACAGTTTCTTATTGGTCTGAAAAGGGTAAGCTTCAGCTAGCAACTTAAACGCCGATAGGTGTCGCAACCGTCTTTCGGATAGGCCCGAAATTGAATTTCGACTTAAAAAATATGGATCGGGAGTCGTCACCGATCATTTATTTAAAACAAATGGGTTGATCGGATACCATATTTCTTACCTGATCTGCGTCTTTCCAAAGATGTGTCGGGTTCGGGAGTCGGTTACGGTCAAGGAAGGATTAGCACCCTTGAACCGCCCTTTCGGTACTACGTAATTTCCAGTTGTCTTTGATTAAGAAAATTACAAGTTAAATTAAAAGGTAAAATTTGATCCGAATTACTTACCCTTAATGAGTTTACGGAAATACCCTTAAAAAATTAAAATAAGATGTTAAAAGAAAATAATAATAATAAAAGAAAATAACAAAATTAAAGAGTAAACCAATAATAAAAAATATAAAAAAATTGGATGAAACAAATGAAAAAATGAAATTGAATAAAATAAAATAAATGAAGAAAAATATATATACAAAAAAGAATAAAAAAGGTAAAGTGTTTTTAAAAAAGAAAACTAATAATAAGAACAAAGAAATTAAAAACATAATGAAAATAAATAAATAGTATAAATAAATAATAAAATATAAAATATATATAAAAATGTATGTATATAATAAAATACTAAATAGTAACAATAATAATAAATAAATGAAAAATAAATATACATATAATATTAACTAAAAAATAATAATCATAGAAATATAAAATAAAATGAAGTAAGAATATATATATATAACGTTAGAAAAATATAGTAAAAAAATATAGTAAATAAGTAAACATAGATAAAAAATAATAATATAATATATATATATATAATAGGAAAATAATATAATATAACGCAAAGAAAAATGAAAAAAAAATTATAATAAATAAATAAATAAATATATATATATATATATATAAATAATAAGGGTTAAATTAAAATAAAAAATGAATTAGGGGTCAAAATTAAAAGTCAATCGAAGAAAAAACGACAAAACACGCGGATCCACACGACCTGTTTATAAAAATCCGAATAGTTTTTCAAAAATACAAGCATTGGGGACTATATCTACAAAAATAGATCTCGAAAACGCCTCCGTTCTTCGGCCAAAAACACTTCTCTCAGTTTTCTTTCGAATCAAAACACAACAAGGGTAAGGAAAAATAACATGCGAATGTATGAACTTTACCTTTCAAAATATAAATGATTCGAAAAATGGCTACGAGTTGCTTGTAATTTTTTGCTTGGTATTTCGTATATCCTTCTCCGAATGTGTTACAATAGTGAGTTACAATGACTATTTATAATGCTTGTGGATCCTATCTTTAGGAATTTAAATAATAGTAGAACTCTATCATATTTTTAGGAGTTTGAATCCTAGCAAAATTATATCCTATTTTTAGGAGTTTGAATCTTAGTAGGACGAAAAGATGTATTGACAGCTGCCCCTCTTTGCCCATAGTCGTGTAACGGGGATAGGCAAAGATTAAAAGACACACTTTTCGTTCAGTGGAGTTGAAAATAGACTCTGATGTTTCAATAACTCCCTGTCGAATTGAGTTACGGATGACTCCTCCGTCGTGAAGCCGAGTTCATCTTGAAATGATATGAAATTGAAGCCGTAGTTCAGAATTTGAATCAACACGTGGCTTCTCGTTGCCCTTCAGTCTTCTTCTCGGTTTAAAGTCCTTTGATCGGAATCGAACTCAGAAATCTTCATTGACAGATAGCTTTTGCTTGAAAATGGTTGCTTGTCACAAAGCACGGTTAACCCAGGTCCTCTTCTCGACTTGAAAACCTCGACTGCAACTGGAAAGTAGTGCGATTGATATGTCATCGAGCTGAATGGTATCGAACTCGACAATTTTGATGGCAGATAACCCTTCTAGCCTTGAGTTATGCTGTAAATGATGTGCCTTGGAGCTGAGCGTAGTCGAACTCGAAGGTCTTTGTTAACAGATACTCCTTCTTTGAGTTGGATATCCTTCGTCGTGAAGTTGAAATCCAATCTAAAGATGGATGATGCTTGTGTGCACGATTCCCTTCGTCGTGAAGTTGAAACCGCGGGTGGCCCCTTTAGTCGTGAAGTTGAGCCTGAAATTTGATACCTTTCGTTGTGAAGTTGAAATCCAAGTAAGTAGCATTGTTCCGAGTCCAATATCCTCCGTCGTGAAGTTGAAATTGGCTCTGGAACCAGGAAATTGTTTGTTGACAACCAGCCATCCCTTCGTTGTGAAGTTGAACTTGTGTTGTCTCGAGTCCAATATCCTTCGCTGTGAAGTTGAAATTGACTCTGAATGAGAATTTGTTGACAATCAGCCGCCCCTTCGTCGTGAAGTTGAGCTTGTGTTGTCTTGGGTCCAAGATCCTTCGCTGAGAAGTTGAAATTGGCTCTGAAATTGGGAAGTTGTTTATTGACAACCAACGGTCCCTTCATCGTGAAGTTGAACTTGCGTTGTCTTGAGTCCAATATCCTACGCTGTGAAGTTGAAATTAGCTCTGAAATTGGGAAATTGTTTATTGACAACCAGCGGTCCCTTCGTCGTGAAGTTGAACTTGCGTTGTCTAGAGTCCAATATCCTTCGTTGTGAAGCTGAAATTGGCTCTAAAATTGAGAAGTTGTTTGTTGACAACCAGCGGTCCCTTCGTCATAAAGTTGAACTTGCTTTGTCTGGAGTCCAATATCCTTCATTGTGAAGTTGAAATTGGCTATGAAATTGGGAAATTGTTTATTGACAACCAGCGATCCCTTCGTCGTGAAGTTGAACTTGCGTTGTCTTGAGTCCAATATCCTTCGCTGTGAAGTTGAAATTGGCTCTGAAATTAGGAAAATTATTGTTGACAACCAGCTGTCCTTCGTTGTGAAGTTGAACTTGTGTTGTCTTGAGTGGCACGATATCCTCCGTCGTGGATTTGAAATCGTGGATGTTTGGCTTCGAGTTAGATATCCTTCGTTGTGAAGTTGAAAGCTACTCTCGAGCAAATTGTGAGTTCGAGAGAAACTTTCAATCTGTCGAGTTGGTCGAAGTGTAGTTTCTTGCTGCTGAGTTAAGAAAACCAACATGAATATTTAAAGGTGCTTTTGAATCGAGTATCCTTCGTCTTGAAGTTGAAACTTGACTCTAAAAGCTGCAAAAATTATGTATGTAGAAAATGATAAATATGATGCTCTAAAATGTATGCATAAGATGCATGTAACATGAATTGGTTATATTTTATCTCCTGAAAAAGGTCTGATAATTTGCATTAGGATGTTGAATCCCCAAATGATGCCCCAATATCCAAAAATGCCCCAATATTTGATGTTGAATCTTCAAAGATGCCCCAAATGTTCCTCATTTCTTGCTTCAGCATTGTTTCTGAGCATGAGTTTTGTGTCTAAGAGTCACATGTCATTTACCAAGATCCACTCTAGAGAGACTGTCTTGTTTGAAAAAAAATGTTTTTTTTTCTTTTTTATTTTCAAAGTTCTGAAAATATCAATAAAGAGTTTCGAAAAATGTTTAATCAAAAGTTTTGAAAATATTGTCTCTTTCACGGTTTTACAATTGAGACGAATCATAAAACTAGAGTTCATTGGATATCAAATGTTTAAGTACAATGTTAATCCTTCAATAAATTATAGCTATTTGACACGTGCCAAGATCAAAGCTATCTTTGGGAAATGGTTAAGTAAGGAAATGATAAAAAGGTCTCAGGTTATTGTGTTTGGTTAAAGGTTTGGAATTTGATGCTCAAAGGTTTGATGGGGTAGCTTGCATGCTCCTCTACTGGAAGTGTTCTCTGACTCCCAACCTTCGTGGTCACACTAGGGTTGTGTGATGTCGTATCAAGGAATTTGTGTGATCGCCTCAGTTGCACAATTTTTATATTCGAGCCGCCTTTTTAGGTTTTCAACTCGAACCCTCCTTTGGTTTCAAGACGTTATTCAGGATTTACGTCTTGAACCCCACTTTGTTATTTTTCTCTACCATGCATTAATTACATTGTTTTTTGCAAACAAAGATTAATCTTGATGGGCGGGATGAAATCTGAAGATAATCTCTTATGTTTAGAAATCCATGTATGATTAGAAGGGACTTTTAAGGCACGTAATGTATGTCATGGTTCATGGTTATGAAAGAAAAAGATAAATAGGCCCAAACAAGTATTTCAGGGTGTTGAACCAAGGATCAATTCATTCTGATGCCTTCAATCATGTCCTGCTCAAAATGTCTCTCTCTTGATGCTCTATGATCTTCGAGTGAAGTGATTCAGTGATTCGGGAATGATTGTGCTTGATCAATCTCATAGTTTGAAGCTTGATGTGCCATTTCAAACAAGTGTTTCAGGGTGTTGAACCAATGATCAATTCATTATGATGTCTTCAATCCTGCTCAAAATGTTTCTCTCTCTTGATGCTCTATGATCTTCAGTGAAGTGATTCAGTGATTCGGGAATGATTGTGCTTGATCAATCTCATAGTTTGAAGCTTGATGTGCCATTTTTTAGGGAATCTTTGCATGTGTTTTTTGTCCCTTTTTCTTTTTGATTTTTTTTCTTGTTTCTCTTTTTTCTTTGTTTTTCTTTGTTTTTTTTTTGCTTTTTTGCTTCTTTTCTTTTTTGTTCTTGATTGGATCTTCGCACTTGCCATTTGGTTCACCTTTTGGTATCTCATCTGAATCAATGTCTTCGCTCATGTGAGCATATTTCTTCCACCTTGCCCCCCAGTGTGGAGGGTGATCCTTGGTTAGGGTTGAATCAGAAGAAAAATACTACAGGCTCAAAAAGGGACACAAGGGATATATTTTTTCTCCTGTTGTGAAGGGATAAAGAAAGAAAGCCGTTCATCATTTCATACATGTAAATCTTCATAGAAAAGGTATCCCCAGGAGGAAAGATTTTCAAGATTAATTCTATTCACATGAAAACAGTGTAATTAATGTATGATAGAATTATTTCGAATGAATTCTTCTTCTTTTTTCCCAGTTGTCTCA